CCCCGCCATGGACGACGACCAGAGAGAGGTGCCCCGGGCCGCCCCGCCCCCTCCGCCCATTTTCCGCGCTCCGAAGCAAGTCTCCCGCCCGAAAGCCGTTATCCAGCAGGAAGAGGAGCTCGGCGCCGAACCCAAGCTGGGCGACTTCGAAAATGTTCACGCGCTGTCTGTGTCTGAGGCCCGAGCTGTTATAGCCGCCGTTCATACGAAGAGGAAGAAGGAACCCGGCACCAACCCGCTAGGTGCCGACAGAGTACACAACGACTCACAGTATGTGCCCCTCGGCTAATCCCCGGTCTTGGGAGAGGAAGGCGCGAGGTGACGTTCAGAAGAGATGACGTTCAGAAGAGCTAGCTGACGGCACTTTGCGATAGAACAATCACAGCCTTCATGGAGTATCTAGAAACCTTCTCTCGCTACAAGCAGAACGAGAACCTCCATGCTCTCTCCGGTCTCCTCGACTCCCAGCCAGAACTCAACTCAGTGGAGAAAGCCATGTTGGGTACATATTTTAGCCTCTCTGCCCCTCGCGCAAAATAGGAACTAATATTCCAGGGTCACTCGCGTGCGATTCTGCAGACGAGGCCAAGACCCTCATCCCGTCCCTCTCAACCAAGATGTCGGATGACGCCCTGCAATCCATGCTAGACGAGATGCAGAAACTCCGTCAGTCATTTCTGCTTGAGGCACAAGACATTAACAATTACTAATTTGTCGGTTAGAGGACCGCTTTGGTTAAAAATCTATATTAGTCAATTCTGGCATTGGGCACGGCAACTTGGGTTAGACTAAGGACGCCGCAAGAAGGAATGTGACGAGGCGGACCAGCCACAGGGCCAACATTGATGACCCTTCAAATGGCAACTCCACTAACAAAGAGACTGTAATGGGAATGACTTTGACGGACAGAATTAGTTCTATCAAGGATAGTCAGTGAACGGAATGATATTGGACTTTTGGGCGATACCCAGCGTCAGGGTGAGAAGGCCTCCTGCGCCATAAATGAGAGTAATTAGACATGATATCTGCGTGGTCGCAGCCTGCAATTTCTCTTTGTTGGATTTCAGTATTTCTTCCCCTACAGATCATTTTTCGTCCATGCTCATTAAAGCTGCCGAAGCTCCCTTAGCCTAACGTAATAGTGTCCCGGTATTCGCCCTGACGAACCGGAATAGCGCCCAATGCACTATACTCCGCGTAATTCCGAAGAGGGTAGCAAGGATGATACGTGCTGTGATTGTGGTAATGAAGATTGGTGTGAGTGTAGCTCGATACCTTTAGTGTACGACAAACGATAGAAGGACTAACCGATATGCGTCCATCTTCACAAACTCGATTTCCTCCGCGCGACTGCCATTCTTCTCCAGCAAGTATTTGGAGAGCCGGAGAACAGATGCCAGGCTGCATGTTCATCATCCCACCCCCACTAGAGCAAACAGGAAAATCGGCCTTGTATGTTTAGGCTTGTTGTTTTCCTTCACCACGAGAAATGAACCTGCACAGCCGCCACAAGCTGTTCAACGGCGCCACCGGAAGCTCTCTGGTCATTGTTTAGGGTTCTCCAGCAGTGTCTTTCTGCGTGGCTGAAGAACCATCACTTGACTTCAACCCGTTTAATATCCAAAAGTAGCGGAGTGAAAAGTGTAGAAAACGGAGCGGCTTGCTAAGAGAAAGTTCGTCGGTTATAGATACGTGCTGTGGTGTGAGGAAATGTTATAGATACAAGGCTTGATCTGTTAGTCACCGTGTATCAGTACGCCTAGAGCGGGCATGAGTTACGAGAGAAGTAACGTATTGATCGATGTTAGGAACGAAGGGTCATGAGGTATATGCAAGCGAGAGGAATCAAGCTTTGAGTTAATTCGGCAACCCTCTGGGTTACAGTATCTCTTCAGCAATGTTACTATGAACGAGATGGTGGTTGTCTTTCTCGCCGTGTAGGAGGGTTAGGTAGCGGATGCCCCTCCGACAGAATGACATTTTGAAAATTAAAACAGCGAGGTTTGGGAGCTATTTATCCGAGTAGATGCAACGCTTTTACTAGAAGGAAGTACCGTGACTAGGAGGAGCTGTTCAATGAGAAACTAAGATGAATTACCGACCGAAGTTTGAACACTATCCCGGTGGTCCTACATTCCCATCCCTCCCAATTCCCATCTCCACCCTCAGATTTATGTTCTCAATTGCGCTCCGAAATTCCTCTTTCCTCACCTTTTAGCAATTTGCGAATGCTCATGTCACGCCTCGCTCGCGACCTGCGCTTACTCTAACTATCATAGTTCGGGCCGGCTTCCTTCACGAACCCTTTTTCACTGATTTGCAACGCTGTAGTTTCAGCTACGAGGACGCTTGAGACCCATTTTCGCATTGCGGACAATGTTCGAAGATCCTGTGGCCCAGCTGGTTCGTATATTGTGGTTCGAATGGGTGTTTGGGGCAGTGTCACGAGTGATTCAGGAAGTCCCAACCCGCTAATACATGCGTTCAAGACAGCAAACACCTACTGACCATAGCCTAGCTCTGGAATCAATCTTTTCCTTTGAACGTGTCCTTTTCCATCGTTCTGCGCTTAACCTGCTATAGTCATCCAAGCCAGTTGAGAGTCAGGTGGACGTTCTGTCAGCCTGGCACGACACCCAAACAAGGTAACTGACGCAATGAAGACCTCGGAAAATATACTGAGTAATCATGATCTATATACCAGGTTGTAAACCTGCTCCCTGCTCCATGACCTCACTAGGAAGTTTGCAATGTTTCGCCAACCAGGTGTTCCAAGGTGGTTGCCTTATTTCTTGTTCTTACTTTGAGACAGGCAGGATTCTGATTACGATGGTCTAGGATAGTTACTTTTTCCCTCACTCTTGAGATTTTCACATTCTATATTTAAAGGCGATTTCCCACACTATAAAAGTCATCTCTCGGCTCTACGTCGGATCGCCTTTGATTTGGTATCGCTGGGCACTGTCACAAATTTTCCAAATATTCATTAATTCTATCGTGGGCATGGATTGGTCAGTTAGTAGAGAAAGCATCAATATTAGTATCCAGTAACCTGGGAGCATGTGAAAAGGTGTGGCTGGATATTTACGGCCACTATGTGTTGAGAAGGTACGGAAATGCTAAGCAGCTCAAACGGTTGGTTCGGCTGCTCATTCTCAGACATTTCCGCTTGAACATGTTAATCATTGTTGGACCTATCATCAGGGAGATGGACTTGTCCCATACGAGGACGGTTTGATCCGTTGTAGGAATTGAAGGATGAGCGCCTTTGCCCGAGGGTTCTAGATGTTCTGAAGTGCAACGCTGGAGGAGACAGGTTCTATTTGCAACAAACTTGAGGCTGCACGGTGATCTTTTCTTGAGCTTAGATCTATCGAACGCTCCTCTTGCGGGATATTCTTCTCGTCTTTGGTGTCCGCAGTTTCAGGAGATTATATTACCACTCCACGCTTCTGCATGCTAAAACGTATGACGAGTACCGGACCATCGTCCACGGCTATGGCCCCAATCTGAGACCCCATTTCGAACTCAGTACCAATTTTGCCCACGTTCGCTTCTTCCATTGCCCCTCTCTTCTCGCCCTCGAGTGCCTACTCAATTGCGTTAACCAAAATACCCACATTTTCTAACCCGGATACATACAGCTCCTTCAAGCCCTGACGCAGTCTCATCAGCCGCTTAAACGACACGCCATAAAATGCGAGGACCAATTCTTCACAGGCCTCACTTTCATACAACTCAAATAGTTAATACCACGGCGAACCTTTCAGTGTTACAGACCCCATCTCAGGGACTTTTAGATCCCCGGGGGCTTCGGGGATGGCAGTGCGGTGCCGTGCGATGGCATGTCAGACGTCCATTTGATATAAGTCTTTGGGGGGGGCGGTGTGAGTCCGATTTGTCGATTTTGGAGGAGGACAGGCGTTGGGGTGAAACCGACGTCCAGGAGGACTTAGTCTTAGATTCAGGAGAGGGCGAAGAGAATGCAGTGGTCGATGTACTGGAGGCTTTTATGGGGTCTGTGAGCTTCGTGACGGGTAATTATATGGTGGTAAATTGTGGCGACAAGGCCGCCTTCGTACTGTGTCGCTGGAGATTCAACATTGGAATAGTTGTTTCCGACGCCATCGCACAATGATCCATTTGTGAAGTTCATGCTCGGCGGACAGATAGACAGGCAAGGATAATTGATTTAACTAGGATTTTGATAAACATAAAGATTTGGGAGTAAATTTCTGCTCAATAGAATATTATGATATTTTAGCACACCTTCTAATTCAAACAGAGACAGGTACTAAAGTTTACTAGAGAGTACCGCTAATGTGAACTAGGAGGTTTTTCATAGTCTGGTGAAAGATCTTTGGTGGAAAAGCGCTTCGGGTGGAAGACCCCTGGAGAAGTTGCCTAGGGGTCACTGGGAAGTCAGGGAGGGGACGGTAAGGAACAATGCGGTACTTTGTAGTGGTAATGTCAGTTTCAGGCGATAGTATAGGTAATGAGTTTAATGTAACTACGATCACAGAGAACCCTATATTCCAACAACCGGTGCCGTTGGTTTCATAATTGAGATCGATTGTATGGGTACTTTTCTCAGGCCGAGATGCTCTCATTTGTCACTAATGAAGGGCAAGTTAGGCGGCATTCGCTGGCTCCATAATGCCCCCTAATCCTGCCGATTGTCACCATAAAGTACTTTCGGCAGGATCAAAATCCAAAGTCTAGTACGCTTATAGATGATGTTTTCCTTCGTGAATGGTAAGATTGAAGAATGCGATAGGGGTTCGTATATGGAAACAGAGAATCGGCCTGATAGAATAGACAAATCAGCCACGACCCCTCAAGCCTCACAAGAGGTGACCAAAGCTATCAAAAAGGTCTCCAATATTGGCGCTGCAAGATCATCAGTTTTTTCATGGTATTTATATCAGTCTGTGAAGCTATTGTTGTAAGTTAAGGAAAATTGTTTTGATAACCTTGAATTTTTAGATACTTAGTGTCCGTACGCAGCAGCAGCGTCGCGGCCTGGATACAAGCGATCGCGCACGAGCAGGATCACGTATCTATGTCACTGTCAGATATGCGCACCTACTGTCAAGACAGGAGGAACGCTGGACGAAAGCTGCTACATAGTACGAGCAATAAGCTCGAACAGTATGTCGCTGCAAATTGCTGCATTTTGCAGCATATTGCAGCATGTTGCAGCATTTTGCAGCATTTTGCAGCATTTTGCAGCATTTTGCAGTATTTTGCAGAAAATTGCAGCATGTTGCAAGCTGGTCGCGCATAGGGCTAGTGCGCGAGGGACTCGGACCGGAAAAACAAGGCCGAGCAACACGAGCAGAACACACAACAGGACATCAATAAATCAATACAATCATTCATCATCCCATACATCATTTCCAAACCCATCATTCATCTCAGGAAGCCCAGAAACAGTGCTTCAATCTGACAGTCACATAATGCTTGTGCGCGAACCTCTGTGCGCAAACATCTAGATATCCCCCTTTTCCTCTATATAAAGAAAAGATAAGAGTAATAAAACTAGAAATATATTACCTTTACTTTACTTACTTTATATACTATGTACACTATACACTACTTTTACTTTTACTACTTAAGTGCTTATACTATAAGCAGCTAGCTATTAGAGCCTATTTAACACTAATTAGTAGTTAATTTAATTAACTATAAATTAGTAAAAGTAATTATAAAGTACTTATACTTTATAAAGTACTTTATTTTATTACTTATTTTTTAAAAAGAGTAATAATAAAGCACTTATACTTTATAAAGTACTTTATTTAGTTACTTATTTTTTTAGAATAGTAAATTAATCCTTTACATTATATAGTAAGCTCTACTACTATATAAAGTAAGAAGAAGATAGTGTAAAATATATACTAAAGCTATTAAAGCTATATAACTTAGTAGCTAAATAATAGTAAATTAATCCTTTATATTATACAGTAAGCTCTACTACTATATAAAGTAAAAAGAAGATAGTGTAAAGCGCACACTAAAGCTATTAAAGCTGCATAACTTAGTAGCTAGATAATAGCAGTACCTATATAATCTACTAAAAAAGTAATTAACTATACTATTATAATAAAATCTTACTAGCAACTAACAACTCTGTGTAATAATAAAAGAAATAAAAAATAATTTTTATTATATAAATAACTTATAAAAGACATAAAGATATTAAAGGTAACACTATAAAATAAAACTAGCCTAGAGTACTAAAATAACAAGATTAACATGTTAGAAGCTCTAATAAGCTTATAAACTTAATTATATATAATAACTTAAAAAGGCGCTACTTTTTTAAGTTTATATATAAAAAATTTTAAAAAATAGACACTATAAAACTTTTTAGCACTTAGCTATATGTTTAAAAGAGAGCTTATATAAGTGCTAAAAAATAAAAGAATTATACTATAGCTAGGTACTAAAGGTACCTAAGCCTAAAAGCTGTATAATATAGCATAAAAAAAAGTAATTACACTAAAAAAGCTTTATATGTAACTTTTATTACTATATAAGGCTCTGCATAGAAGTAGACTAAACATAATGCTACTATTAACACTAAACATACTAGCATTACCTGCTTCTACACCTTAGCTAGCACTACACTAATCACTGTACAAACAATACATGCCACCCTACCTAACGCCTGCTCCACACCCTTAATTGTACACACCACTGCCTGCAGTAGTGTATACACTACTAATACTACCTACATAATTTATACTACATTATAACTTGTATAAACTTCTACTTTAAAGAGAAACTACTAAAAAAAAACTCTTAGTAAATAAAATTATATAATTCTAAAAAGTATAAAAAAAAATAATAACTATAACATACTTTATAGGCGAGTCGCTCACACACCTGAGTTGCTTACTTTTGCTAAGACCCTACTCTAACAAACTCTATTATAGCCTATAACAACCCGCTCTAGCACTATATAGTATAGTACAGCCTAGAATATTATTTAGATACTACTTCTGCTTCTTACTTACACATTTGCGTGTTATGCCTAGTCTAATTACACTATCTACAGCGCCTTTAGAATAGCTTACTTACTTTAGCTTATGTAACGGCGCAGGCAAGACAATGGGTCCGAATGCGGTATGAATCCACTCAGAGGCATATGGGAGTGCGTGGGGACTTAGAACCTGGGAATGCCATTGACACCTATAGGCCTTGTACGAAAGGATATTAGAAAACTACCGAGCTAGCTACAGGGGCAAGGTGCGACTAAATACATAAGGGAATAGGGGTAACTGCAGGGGACTAGGTCAAGTCATGGTCGGGGCTGATACAGGGACCCTTTAGATAGGATCTAAGCAACCTAATATAGGACAATTTGTAGAATTGTCACACTACCCCCCCCTCTATAGGCTAATAGTCCCTATTTATAGTGTTTAGAAAGTATTTAAAACTGCTTTAAAACTAATTTAGATAAGATATAATAAGTATAACTATCTTAACTAAAATTTCTTGTTACTAAGAAAATAGACTAAAAACCTAATACTAATATAATGCCTTTATTATAATGTTTTTGTTTAGTAGTAACTAGCAGTGTAGTTATTATTAATATAGTAAATTTATTATTTATAGTAATAAGTGTTTACTTACTTTACTTATATAGTCTAGTTAATTTTATTAGTTTCTTTTTTAGCTATTATCTAATTCTCTACCTTATAAGTATTATTGTGCACCTAACATCTTATAGCTTAGTCTGCTAACTAATTATAGCATTAAAAAAAATTACTATGCTACTCTGCCCCTCTTCTAAAGCCTCTTTAGAGGTGTTTTAAGTTATCTACTTTTAAGCTGCTTACGCTTTTACTTATAGCCTTTAAGTTAAGTTTTCTTATTAGTTTTTTAAATTAAAAAAATGTAAATATTACACTTTATGTAATAAGAAATGTAATTTTATATAAATATAGTTTAATACTACTAGGTTATAAGTTACTAATGCGTGCATAGGTCTTTTTATATTATAAGAAGAAGTTTCTAGTCCTATAAGGCTATCTTAAGCTGTAGGCAGCAGCCTAAAACATAAAAAGTAATAAAGATAAAAAAAGGGCCTTTAAGGCTATTTTAAAGTCTGCTTAAAACCTAGTGTAGGTAGTGTAAGTTATAAAAAGCTAGAAGGCTAGGCTTCCTACAGCTAGTGTTTAAGTGGCCTTATTCTACTAAAATACTAAGCTGCTCTAATAAGTTTTAGCCCTAAAGGCTCTAGTGTCTAACTTTTAAGCAGACATTATAGCGCTCTTAGGTAGTTAAAAATAAGGTAAAGAGAGTTTAAAAGGGGTCTAGAAAGAAGAGAGAAGAGAAGGGAAAAAAAAAAGAAAAGTAAAGAAAAAGAAAAAAGAGAGTCTAGAGGTGTCTAACAGCTTACTGTTAGACCTCCCTAGCGCAATGTCTATAGAGTTGTAATACTATTATGTATAACTATAAATTTACTTCTTACTTTTATACTTTATTATCTACTAAGTAATCTATGCCTTTTACACTAGCTTTAAAAGCCTTAATTTACTTTTATAAGGCCTTTAAAAGTTCTAGCTAATTTAGATGCTTATTATAAAAAGCTTTTAATTTATAAAAAGAACTTATAAAATTTAAAGCCTTATACTAGACTAGATTAGAGTTATGTCTTACTTATTTTACTTAGTACTTAAGTATTTTTTAGTAAAGCTTACTAGTAAGTATTTCCTCTACTTCTTACTTCTCTACTTTATTAATAGTAATTTTAAGAGGTTTTAGAGGTTCTTAACTTAGAAAAGAATTTTAAAAGTCTTTATAAAGCACTTTTAGTGTAAAGATGTTATATATTTTTAACTTTAAAAGTAGTTTTAAGCAGTATAAGTTACTAACTTACTTAAGTACTTTAAAAAAACTTTTTTATTAATTAAATAGTTTTTAGCTAAGTTTTTAAATAGCTAAGTTTTCTGTACTTAGGTAGACTATATTACTAACTTTCTAGTTAACTAGCTAGTAGTAGTAGTTAACTACAGTTTACATCTAATTTTAGGCCTTTTCTATATAGGTCTTTGTGTGACGGCGCGTACCGCCTTACATGCTCTGCGGCATCAGCTCCCTCGCTTGCGCAACGAGTAGCACGCTAGTGCTACAAGTAGCGCCTTGGCAGGGGGCACACATGTATATTTAAACTCGCAGAGCAGCTCCTCTGCTCCTTAGTTTAATCTAGTTGAGTTACACCACCTCTTGCTTGTAGCTTGAGCATGCCGACCGTGACACTTTGCTAGCTTCTAGGCTGCGTGCATGTAAGTTGCTAATGCTAGGGCATTCTTCTAATTTAACTTGTCTGTGGCTGTAATAAGTTCTGTAGAATGTTTCTAGTCCTAGCTTTAACATAGTTTAGAGCTATATAAAACTTAATATAAAAACATTTTAATTATTACATAAAGTACAGTTATCTAAGCCTAATTAATTAAGAGTAGTAAGGAACTCTAGTTATTTTAGTAAAAAAATATAAAAAGCTTTAGTTTTTAATTAATATACTTATTTATAATTTTTATTTAGCTATTTATTTTTTTATAATAAGTAGTAAAAAGCTTAACTTTTATGCTTAAAATTT